CTCCCAGAAATACCGCTCACATAATGATAAAACATTAGTGGCAATGATGTCATCGTCTAGTTAATGTCTTATCGTTATGTGGGAGGTATTTATCTAGCACCTTGTATATATAGTGTGCAGGCCTCTGTCGGTCCGGGTTGACCATAGGTAGCATCCTAGTCATCTGCTTGGCTGGAGCATCGGCGTCTGTGACTGTAGAGGCCAATCTGAGAGTGACAATCTCTGTTGCAGAGGCCGCATGTGTGTTCTGTCACTTTGCTTTCTGCGGGTCCGCCTTTTCATGGCGACTTGTATCAGCTTCTCCTCCTCTGACTTGAGGTGTTTGGTCAGGCTTCCTCTCCATTTGGATCGTATAGCTGCCAGGTTCCCCCAGGACTCTGTGTTGATGTCCACAGCTTTTATGTCGCGCCTCACAACATCGCAGTACCGCAGCTGTGTCCAGTCAACAGGTCTCCTTCGAGAGGCCAGCTCTCCATACAGATGCGGTCGTCTGATATGCGGTGGACGTAGCCTAACCAACGGAGTCTGCGCTGTCTGAGCAATGTGAACATGATGGGCAGAACTGCCCGAAACAGGACCTCAGAGTTGGGCACCTCATCTTGCTACGCTATTGCAGGATGCGGCGGATGCTTTTCATGTGACAGTTGTTCAGGCGACTTTCTTGCTTGGGGTACGTGGTCCAAGCCTCGCTGCCATATGATGACGCAGGCGTTGTACACTTTCATCTTGGTCTTCGTCGTCAGCTTGGGATTGGTCCACACACGTTCTGTGAAGCGTGCACAAGTTGTGGCTGCCTTTCCGATTCTCTTGTTAATCTCTGCGTCTACGGAGAGGTTATCAGTGATGGTGGAGCGAAGGTACATGAACTGACTGACCGCATCGAACTCATAGACGTCAATGGTGATGGCTGATGGTGTTTCGAACGTTTGTTTTTTCAGGCTGATGGTCAGCCCGAAGTCTCTGCAGGCCTTGGTGTGAGTTGCTACCGCAGCATCGTCGTCAAAAAGGTCCTGGGTATGACGATAAACTACATCCCTCATCGGGTAGGTGGAGCTCGACAGCCTGGGAAGGCAGTTCACTTAGGGGAAGGAAAACCCTTCTTTCAAACCTCTGCTGCCTTGCGCCCATATCCAGTCACAGAAAAAGCTTCAGGAGTAAATCTCAGGAGACGGAAACAGAGTCCCTAATGCAATCCGGAGACGGAGTCCCTAAGGCAGTACGCCGTTGTACAAAACCCGTTCTGGTAGAGCCTGCGACGGCGCCGGTCACAAAACTCAGCAACCCTGTCGTTCCTTTGGTCTCACGGGTGACGTGTAGAGAAGGGACGTGCTACATGGGCCACAGCCTGTCCTCCATATCACATCACCCAGGCTTGCATCCGACCACACCGCACTATATATATATTATCTATCTATCTATCTATATATATATATATATATATATATATGCATCTATGTATGTATTTATGTAAATTGTGTTGGTTCAACATCCGCAGAGCCGCCGACCGCTTGGTTTATACTGCAACTATGCTGCGGAGAGAGCGCATAATGTGGTGAGGTTAGCAGTTTGGACGGCGCCGGTTCGCTCAAAACCCGTAGTCACAATGACTTGTGACCATATTGACGGCTTCCAGGCAAGAGGCATATTCGGTAGAGTCGCTCGCTGGAATCGATTCCCCAGACTGATGACATCAACAAGTTACCTTCCTCACAAATCGACCATAGTTGAATAGACCGGAATTTTTCTTGAATATGATGTCTCGAATACTCATACGAAAATAAATATACTGTTTAATATAAACGGGCTGTCTACTCAAACATGGTTATCCACTAAAATAATGTTTAAACATATTTACATTGGACATATAGATAACTAGACTCGTTTCGAAAAACCTTCGAATTTTTGATTTGCCAATAATCAAATCAATCCCGAGAGAAAAAAAAAGGTTTTAAAAAAAGAAAGAGCTACAAACATGAAAGTCTGTCGAAAAAAATCGCACAGATGCAGGTTTGAAGTCCAAAGAAAAAACCCCGATACGAGTAAACAACTAACTAACAAAAAAGAGCTCAATACAACCGTAGAGCAGACCTATATATATATATATATATATATATATATATAATCAAACAATTTTGATTCAAAAGAACTGACAATGTCTGTCGGTTTCATTTTTTATTATATATTTCCAAATTTCAAATGATTTGAGTATTGTTCTCAAACATCTTATTCGAAAATAGGAAAAATACAATAAAAATTAGACACACAGTGTAGGTTTTTATTAATCAAACTGCTTTAGGTGAATAATTACGTCTTCACTTCGCTATCTAAATTTTAAAAATGCATTAACCCACTAACCACTCGATGAATGTTATGGTTCTTGTTATTTAAAATTATAAACTGTATCAGGTCTTTCTTAAATATGCAAGTACTTTCCACAGGCTCTCCGGTCATCATCCGGCATTTTCGTTTTGATAAAGTTCCGGCAGCATCCGAGACGAAAAAATACAAGGCAAATCAAAATAATTTTTTTTTTTAAATGTGTTATTGATAACAGATACAAATTTGTGAAGCGTAGCCTTGTGCCACATCTAAGCTACGCGTGGAAAATCGCTACAAACTTGTGAAGCGAGCAGTCGCAACGCTGAGGTTGAATTTTTGAAAATTTAAGCAATAACGTTTTTTTTTTTTTTACTAATATGGCAATTTAAGAATTTTTTGTTGCAAGTGTTTATCAGTCGACGTCCTGGTTATTTTCCCCTCTGTTGCTCTGCGTTGTATTTTTCGGCCGAGGTTTGAGTTTCCGTCGTTTCGCAAGGATTAATCGCCCTACATCAAATTAAGTAATTTGGTATATGAATTTAATTGCCAGTGCGCTGCTGGTTATGTGGGGCGTACAACCCTGCATTTGAAAACAAGAATTAATCAACATGTACCTTCTAAAATACGACATGGCAAGATAGATAACATGTGTTAACTTCCCTCTGGTTCAAAATTATCACATAGCTTGGTTCCAACAATAATTTGAAGATTTTGGAATCAATCTGTATAGGATTACGGAAACCTTCTCTTTGCCGGCAGAAGGACTGTGTGAAATCCCATAATTTGTTGGGGGATATTTTATTTTAACTGTACCTCGCTAATTATTTATACGCGATTTCCTCTCCCTTCGTTATAAATATACTTATATTTTATTTATTTTACCGTGTTTCCCCCTTTTTTTGCTCTTCATTTTCGTTGTTGTTCTTTTCGTTTAATTTATTAATTTTTCCAACGATTTTCTTCTGATGAGATGTTGGACGAAATGACCTTAGGGACTATTACCATTAATAAATTCCTTGTTTTTAAAACAATATATATATATATATATATATATATATATATATATATATATATATATATATATATATATAAATGTATGCATATAGCATAATCAGCTAAAATTTATATAGTGTTAATTTTTGGTTTGTTGGTTGTTTAGCAGCATTTCAACCTCTAGAGGTTATTTAAGGCCGACATCTAAATATTTTGAACGTAATTTTATCGCTTCAATTAAATATGTTTTGAACGTAAATGAATGCTTTCAACTACAGATAAAATTTTTTTTTTTTTTTTATATAAAATGTTTTGCTGGTATTTTTACTATGTAATGTATTTTTATACTTTCATAATGTTTTATTTTTGTGGGAGGGGGGTCACTATTTGCTGGAACGCTAACAGGTGAGACCACCTCGAGTCAGCGCTCCTGAAAATCTCCAATCTCCCGATCAGAGGCCTGGCTGCCGGATGTAGTTTATCGTCATACCTAGGACTATTGTTAATTTATTCTTAATTTTATGTAGTAAACATTTTAAATGTAAAACCAAGAATAAATACATTTTGGTAAGCGAAGTATTAATTGTAAGAATACATTATGCATGTTCATCAGCAAAAGTTAAAATTGAGGATATCAGTTGCGTTACGAGGACGTTACCATCAAACAGTATCGGATTTCTTATTATCTGATTAGTGAAACAAAAGAAAACGGAATCTTGGACTGAGAAATCCAAAAGCGAAAGAGGACATTCAGAAACAGCGAAAGAGGACATTCAGAAACTAAGAGAAACATTAAGAAATAGGAAAATCTGCACAAAAGAAGAGTACAATTATTATTATGTAACATCTGATCCCCCCTTTGTTAGTGTATACTAGACAATTTGTCATAGGTGAAGAAATGTCCGACTGTCACCGAGATTGAGTTCTCACTGTTCTATCGATCAATGATGAAAATACTCCAGATAGAACATGCGCAGTTTTAAAGAAAATAAGAAAGATGTATTTACAAGAAAGAAACAGCCTGAATTGCTTGGGCGACATAATGAGGAAAGAGGGCCTAGCGAATTCAACACTCACAGGACAAACGGGTTGCAGGAAAAGTAATGAGTGATCTGATTTGAGTGGATGGATCACAGAAAAATGGACAAAAAATAGGTAGTAAACAGTCAAAAATATTCATAGCATCAAAAGGCAGAAAAGCCATAATCGGCCATATCTTGAAAATACATGGCAGATAAAAGAAGAAACAGACAAATCTGTGTTCAGTTAACTCTTTTTTTTTCTATTAGTAAATGTTAAATTGACTGTAACTTATCTAGTCACGTGCTGTCAGCTTGGATGTGCCGGTGGTGTAATAAATAATGGCTTGACATTGTTAAGCGGAGCGCCAAGTTCTAATTCCCGTTAGGTTTCGTTATATTCACTAACATGCAAATGACCTTGGGAAAAGCATGAATTAATCTCTTTCTTCCAGCTATGAGTTAATTAGTATCACTGAAATATTATTATCTCCAAAAAATATTCTTACCCACTAAAAGATGAAGATGAGACTTAAATATGGTTCTATAGAAGAATGCATCGACGAAGATTTAGAAAAAATGGAAACAAATAGGAAACTAATACTTAACATCAAGAAGAGGCTTTTAATTTTTAATAAATTATTTCATTATAGATGAAATATATATATA